GAGAAATTCGAAATGAGCATTTGGAATATCCCAAGTGATCATTTGGGATAAATGCACATTTGGGGCAAATGCATGTCTGAAATGATCTTCGCATTTGGGATATCTCAAATGCGCATTCCGATTTGGGATATCCGAAATGCGCATTTCAGACATTAACGCATTTGGGATACAACACCTCCGAAATGATTTACCAAATCATGGCATGGATATCTAAATTATTATTTAAATAGTCATTTTTGTTACAATCCCGGATGATCAGTTTCCCGGATGATCTTGAAAGATCATCCGGGGTCGAATTAAGTTATGAATTAATCCATAGATTAATTCCTTAAATTACGTTATGTCTACTGCGCTTATCTAACTAATTTAATATCCATTTCGTAAATGTAGAAGTTCAAAAGTTATCTGAATATATCCGTTATTCTAGGATATCCAGATTCAATCTTAGGATCAAACAAATTTGAAGTATATGACGACGTCAAGACGTCGGATAATCTGACATATCAGCAGACCGCATTCTATATTTTTGCAATAGAATCTAAATGGAGAGTTCAATCTATCGATTAATAGTATAAAATTACTATATTCTATAGTATAGTATCTTGACGAAATATAGTTTTAATTACTTTGACTGCTGATCGGAAAGCTTAATTTGAAGACAGTGGAAATGTATTTGTAATCAGTAAATCAATGCTAAAGTTGGAGATCGGCATCTTAAAAAGGAAATTAGCCGAAAACTAAAAAAACATTTTCTCGCCGACCGTTGGGAGCGTTTGCTTATATTGATTATGGTCTTTTGTTAAAAATTGTGTTGTGGGATAAAGATTTGAAAATAATAGAGATTAATTAATCTAGTAATGTACTTTAAAGGAATTCATCTATGTCGTAATTTACACTGGTAATATTTTAAAGATGTATAGGTTTATTTGCATTTGATACAAAAAATAATATTTGACATTAAACAATATCTACAATCTGTATAAATATACAACATCCGAAACAATATTTCTGCCAACTGGTGATAATCACTTGCAAGACGAATACATTACAAAATTTTCCCACCATGAAATAGAGAGTTGGGATAAATTTTTTTGTATAATGATTCTGTCCGGTCATAAGAAACTAGATAACACATCTTTCAACAATAGATTTTCAAATATTTTATAACCTTCTACCTATACAGAATTTGTGTACAATTCCTGTAACAAAAAAAAATGTTTATAGAATTCCTGTATTAATTATGATTTGACGATCATGATAGGGGTATTATGTCATCTTATGTCATTGACTAATTTTGAATTGTTTTGTTGATCATCGAATTACGGTATATAAGTAAGCGTCTATTCACTATATTTATTAACTGTTGATATAATTAATATTCTGTACACTTTGGATTTTTTAAAAACCATTAACGCAATGATTAACCATAATACAAGGACGTGTCGCTAGCTAAGTATTTGTTATTTTTTTCCTATTTTATTGGAATAAAGTTTTGCGAAGATTAAATAAACCATGTGGCTGGCCTTTCAAGAGATAGATGTGTCTAGTACACTTTGCTTATCCACCTCTTCTATTGCTTTTGTTAAGAAATAAAAAAAAATCATATTTCCTCTGTCTCATCGTGAGGGCTTTCTCTATAGAGCCTTTATCACGTCCTCTGCACGCTTTTTTAGCACGATATGATATATTCAGCACGATATGGCGTCGACAGTCCAAATGAGCTCAATTTTATTATTATTTCAAAATTTTGAAATGTATATTTCTTTCTAATGAATATTGAAATTTATTAACAATCGAGAAACATTTCGATATTAACTGGAAACTAATTAATATTGATAGCTAAGTAATTTTATCTTTTCATGAATTAAACATTTTATTAAATATATTTTCATTTTCTGACTTAGTTCTTTTTGAGAACTCATTCAAACCGATGATGTTTAGAAGAAAAAATACCATGCCTCGCCGTCGGTGAAATCGTCTGTGATCAAGTTTTGAAATCTCCGTTTATGTTTGGAGATAATTAGAAATTCCGAATTTAAAAAAAAAATGCAGCTTGATAAATTTAACATAAGAAATTAATTCTGAAGATTTTTTTTCCTTTGCATAAGGACTTTATTTATTAATTGTTAACGGATATGCGTTTTACGCACCCGCAGTTCTTTGTCTTAATTTAATTTGCAGTAAATCTCAACCGATTAAAATAAAAAAGATCCAAAAATCAAATGTGATATATTCATTAATGTCTTCGAATATATACAAATGTATCATTATTTATTATAATTAAAAAT